TACTTTTATAGCATTATCTTATATGACTGCATCTTGTGCTGCTTTTAAATTGAACTTACTGCCTTATCCAAACTCAGGTACTTTTCACTTCAACTCTTTGATTCATGTATTTCTCTTTAATAAAATGCTTTCACCTGTGTCTCCACCTACCAAAATCCTTAACACCCTCTAAGGGTCGGCTACAAAGCCACTCTGTTGAAGTTACTTAGGTAAAGTATGTCACACCTGGTGTATCTATCACTTACTCATTTTCTTCTTTGAATGTCCGCAATTCTCTGTGTTTCTCATGGGGGTTATCACATGCTGCCTTGTAGTTTGCTATTAGTGTACATGTATGTTTGCCCTATCATATTGAAATTTCCTCGTACATGGAGAACAGATCTTACCTTGTTTTACTTATTGATTCACACAGAACATTGTATGGAGGGCTGTATGTAATGATTAGATGTTCAACACGTAATTTGTTGAATGACTGAATAAATAAATTTTGTTCTTTTGTTTGTTTGTTTCAGTTTACTCATTCATCTCTTAGGTAACATCTTGAAAGCAGCTTCAGCTCATATACAAAATATCCCATAGTGTTCTTTGTATGGACCATTGCTCGCAGCCAGAGTATTTCGTAGCTTTTTTTATATTAGAGGGTGAAATGAAAGGTTAAGAGTTAGAAGCACATTTGATCTTTTTCTGACCTTTTCCTGACTTTCGTGTGACTTCAACCATGTCACTTGAACCTCTCAGTGACCTCAGCTGTGAAACGGGGCTGCCTGGTGTCACAGAGGGATTGCAGAGAGCGGCAAATCACAGTCCTTATCCAAACAGGACCACCTGCAGGGCTCTGAAGCTGCATAGGCTGATGAGGGAAGTGCCATTTCCCAAGCCCACTGATCAGTTGGACCCATACTTTTGAGTAGCTGTGGGAGCAACTAGATGGGAGTCCTTGAAAATTTGTTATTGTTCCTACTCAAAATATTTTTAATTTTTTTACTTCTAAATGTTTCTCTCTTTTTTAGACAAGAAAACTATATTGTAATGTTTGCATTTTCAGACTTTAAAGGTGGGAAAATATCACTTCACATATTTTTATAAGCAAGTAGAATTTTGGGAAGACTAGGAGTACCTACAATTTTTATTTTATGCTACTGAATTTAGAAAAATTTCTGCCTCAAAGAGTGTTTTAAATATGATACTAGAAAGTATTTGATATGATACTTAGAAATATGATACTTAGAAAGTATTTGATTTGAGCATGTGTACGTAACTCATGAAATGTGTTTCTAACCAGCTTTTTTTGGCAGGAAGTGTTGTAGGTTAGTAAGACAATTGCAAACAAGTAGAGCAGAAAACAAATAAATGCTATTAGCCATCTTGCAAAGAGAACCTTTTTATACCATTAATACATTCTATAAAAGCTTTCAAAGAATAGAGCTTGATAGAATTTCCCAGTATTATTTATTTTCTAATTGGGAAAAAGCCATTCAGTAGGAAAGTTCTTAGCATTGTATCTAGCATGTACTGATTATCATTCTTTGACTGTTTTGGGTTTCTGCTGCTTTTAAACTAGTATTTAAATGGACCATTTGATTAATCATTTGTATACTGACTGTAATCCTCCCAAATTTCCTTTCTGAGTTGTACATACTGTAAAAGACAATTATGTTGGCACAGATTAAATAAGCGAATTAAAACAGAATAGCAGCTTAATTTGACCTGTGATTTTTTTCTCCTTCCCTTTAGTGGAGTGTGTGCCACTCCAGCAAATAAATGAAGTCATCCATGACAGGTTGTGATGAATTGCCGTATTTATACTGTATATTTTAATAGCCTCACACTAATTTAAATTGAGCACAGAGTAAATTATAATTCAGTCACTTGACTGCTTATATTTAACTTGACAACTCATCCTTATTTGTCCTGGAGGTGTAGCGAAGAGCAGCAGAAACACACTCAGGTATTTCAGTTTCTCACTTAACCCTTTCTCCATGAAGTGGTTCATGTTCAGAGCCTCTCTAGTTTGAAAAATTTAGCCCTTCCTAAAGAAAAAAAATAGTAACAATAATAATGAAAACCCAGGAAGTCCATACTTTCCTTGTACTTCAAAAAGAAAATTAGTATTTCCATGCTTTTTCCCATCGCTTTCAAATAAAGAATTGGACTTGTTTATTTTTAGCAGTTTTAAAGCTCACTCACAAAAATGCCCAAGGGAAGGAGAATTAACCTTCCGCCTAGAGTGCCAAGTCTCCTAGAAAATAGAAGAGCATTTCAGTAGTAATTTTAAGGTGGGTTTTACTTTCCCTCTCAAGTTCCCAGAAATTACTTTATTCGTTTTTCTACCAATATGGAATCTCCACTGTTCTGTACTATAGCAAACACGAAGGAGGATCAAGACCTATTAGAGTGCAAAGGATTGGCTCCACAAATACAGTATTACTTGCTACATTTTAGGTCACTGTAGCACTTTCATTTATTTTGGTGTTTCTATCTTTGGTCTTAAATCCAGTTGTAGAAATCAAGCAATCCATTTCCTTTCCATCCAGAAACAGCAGCTTATTTAGAGGATTATGGCTGTAAAGAGCAATTTAATTAAATCTCACATCACTTAATGGCCACTAGTATAAGACCCTATGCAGGATGCTGGGTGTGGGGGCAGGGGACTAGAGAAAGATGCACAAGACTCACCCTTTGTCCTTAAGGGGCTCACAGCCACTCTTTACTCTTTAGACTTCTGTTTTTAGAAGGTGAGGTATGGATGTTAAAGACAAATGTGATATGTAGAAAAATAAAGGGCCAAAGCTACAGGTAAATTCTGATGGAGGGCTTTGGGGCTGGATTCCTGAAGATGGTGGCAGCATTCAGGCTGCTTGTAAAAGACAGAAAAGGTTTTATGATCAGTGACTGTTGGGTGGAGAGAGGAAGTACTTCCTCAAGTAGAAGGAACAGCAGTAGCAAAGACTGGGAGCGGGGGAACTCATCCTTACACATCACACATCACAACAGGGTGTGTGTGATCAGTAAAAATCTGGTTTCACATGAGGATTGAGTTTGTGGTGGGGAATAGTGAGAGGAGCTAGAATCACAAGTTGAAGCTAGATTGTAGAAGAAATCCTTGAATGTCATGCTAGTGTTTTAATTTTATGCTAAGCCATGGGAACCCAATTAAGGTTTTTGATCAAGGGAATGATATGTTTACAGCCAGTAGTTTGAGGTTAATTCCAGTGTGTTGGCCAGCCATGTGGAATCATGTCATTTCTAGATTGGTGGCCTGGAGGTGCAATATAGCTTAGTAGTCATACTAAGCACTGAGCAAATGTATTTTTGAAACCTTAAGTAAGTGGTTCTGAACCTTACTGTGGGTTAGAAATCACCTGACACGTGTTTAGAAATACTAAGAGATAGGTCCAACCTCAGAGATTCTGATTTCATTATGCTTATGCATTGGGGTTTATTTAAAGCACCCTTATATATTTATGTAAGTACTTTTAAATAAAGATAATTATAATATAAGACCAGGGTTGAGACCCACTGCTTTAAGATAAACAATAACTTAATTCCATTTAGCAGAGTTTTTTAGGATGAAAGATTCCCTGTACTTGACGTAGTGGTGTGAATAGCGCTAATATTTCATAGCATAGACTTGAAATAACACTAGATGAATTTATTTTGTTGCTAAGTTTTATACAGGAACAAAAATGTTAAGTGAATATTGTTGGCAAAATGACTATTGATTTGGAGAAACGTTTCTTGGCAGTTTTGTATTACACTTACAGTCTAGTTTAGTGAAAGCTTTTATAAATAACCCTAAAGCAAACTCTTGATAGAAACTGGCTATGCCTTTTTTTCTCTCTTTCTCCTTCCCCAAGTGGGTGTCATTACTATAAATGTGTAGAATTATCCCTTTCTTTCCTTGCTCTGTCAGCAGTTTGCAATTCATAATTTATGGATTTTTTTCTTCCAATATGAGTATGCGAGTCTGTATTCTGCTGTTGTAATACAAAATGTAGTTCAGTGTTGGATGGTGTATAACTACACTATCATGGTAATCCTGGATGCTCAGTTTTTATCTAGAAATGTCTAGAGTCAGAAACTGCCACAAATCTTAAAATTCTTCCAACTATTTTATTCTCATCACTGTCTTTTTTTAAGTAAAATACAATTTCTCTTGAGTTGGCTTCACTGAGGTGCTAAGTAAAATTTGAACAGTAATGGTCTTCTTTCTTAAAACAAATAGTGTTTGAAATACACTAGAATTTATTCTAGGTACGTTTATAAAGCATTTTTACATGTCTGCATCATGACTCTGACTTGGCGGCGGATGTTTTAAGGAAAACCATAAAGCATCAGTACATGGGGGGACGTCCTCGGCGTCAGACAGGGGCCCGGGCGTTGCCAGGCTGCCAGGCTCCTCGGGGGCTTGTTTCCTCCTCTAAGAAAAGGGATTACATGCAATAATTTCTGAATTTCCTTCAAGCTCCAACATTTTATAACATTATTAGCAAAGAAACATCATGCAGCTGGAAGAATAAAAAAAGTTATATTTTAAAAACTCCTTATTTCCTCTTACAACTAAAAACCCTCCGTTAAGTGTCATTTTTACTCATCACCCTCTTCTGTTTATTGCCTTGTGTCTGAATTACAAGGCAATTTTTTTAATGGTTTCAGGGTCACTCCTATCTTTCTCTCCTGAAAATAACCAATGTAGCCAAAATAGGGTGTATAAATTAAGGGTGTTATAACTTAACTGACTTTTAAAGCCATTAATACTGACCTTTGAGACCTGGCTTTCTCCTTGGTCCCATCAATCACTTCTCTACCACCTCCCCCAATACAAAGGGTTAGACAGATGTGGATACAGTTTGTATTACTGGGGCTTATAATGGTGGGAAGGAGAAAGGAGGAATGAATAGAGAAAACACCATGTTTTCAGTTTTATAATTCATAGTGAGTATAGCTATATTTAGTTTAAGGGTGACTATATGTGTCAATGTATTCCTTTCCATATTTAGGTCATACTACTAGATATTACACTGGAACTTCAGAAGCAAATTATGTCTGAATTGGAAATTCTTTATAAGGTAATTTTTTCTTTGTCATTTTTTCCTTATAAAGCATGCCTATAGTATTGGCTTGCAGGTTTTTAACTACTTTTATCTTATTTTGTTACAGTGTGATTCATCATATATCATAGGGTTTTATGGTGCATTTTTTGTGGAAAACAGGATTTCAATATGTACAGAATTCATGGATGGTGAGTTTTCCCTCTTATAATACTTCAATGGTATTTTGTGGGAGTGCTTTATAACCTGGTTTTGATATAAATGTCAAGTAGAATGAATAATAATTAAAATATATGAATAAGTACCTTCTTTATATTCTAAAGCATCTTAGTGTTAGGAGTTTCTGGTGTTAAATATTTGTAGATGACCTATAATTTCAAGAATGTAATTTTATTTACTTTTATTGAAAATTTAAATAAAAGAAATTAAATACTAGTCCGATCAGTGGTTTGATATTTGATTCTTCCATACAATCTGTCTTTACTTGCAACACAGATGTTCTGTTCTTTAATGTTTCAATAGCCAAAACAGATTTACTTTTAAAGAAATCTATTAACCCAATGTCCTGCGCCTTTTAGAAAGAAAACTATTAGTTGCAAGACAAATTGTATTTCAACACGGCTGTTTAGCCAAGATGTATTTAGCTTTCTTTGGACTCTAGCCCTTTCTCTTCTTCATTTTTTAATTCATTTCCAGTTTGGTGGCTCTTTCTTGATCTGAATATTACAACAAAAATGCAGATTTCTTGGTACATTATCAGTGAAATATGTCATCATTGTTATTTTTTACCCATTTTAAATCAAAGAAGTCTTTAGATTGTACATATTCACTTTTGCAGTGTCTGGCCCGTTCAAATTCAGCATTGAAAAATATACTTAGTTCATTTTGGGAATTATCAGTATATTGCTGAATCAATTATTTCGTGCCCTGCAAGACTTTTTAATGAGCTAACATTGATACCTTGATACTATAATAAGACATATAATGGGCTCTAAATCAGTTAAAGTAGATGCTAAGAATTACAACTCATCATCATAATGAGTAGTATAACAATTACTATTCAAGGAGACTGACTAAAAAAAATGGATTCATAGAGCCAGTACATGCTATTATTTTATGACTCTTTATCATTCTTTTTTTAAGGTCCTCAATTTTTCAGTTAAATTAAAAAATTTATTTATTGAGATGGTATATATCAAATATCATATAATTCACCCTTTTAATGTGTACAAATTCAGTGGTTTTTAGTATACTCACAAGGTCATGCAATCATTATCATTAATTCCAAAACATTTCTATATTGTCCAGAAACATATTCCCTACCAATCAGCAGTCACTTCCTACTCCCTCTTCCCTCTAGTCCCTGGTAACCATTAATCTATTTTTTTTTTCTCTGTGGATTTTCCTATTTTGGACATTTCACACAAATGGATTTGTATAATATGTGGCTTTTGTGTCTGGCTTCTTTTGCTTTGCACAGCAATTTTCAACTAGTGTGCTGCAAGAATTTTTAAAACATGCAATACCTGACTATTTAGTTAGGGGCACTGACCTCTTTTCCCTTAGTCAAATAAAAAATGACAACAGCCAATACAACAATGGCCATCCAGTGAGAATGCCTTGTCTCAAACCATAAATTTATAGGTCATATAATGGAGTCACATCTTATTGGTCATATCTCATAATAAGGCTACGTCTGATTGGTTCATTCTTGGTACCAGAAATCGTTATATACAAGGCATCTGATTTTTTAAAAAGTAACTTTAGAGCAAAAAGGGTAGCTATTACTACTTTTAGTAGTAGTAGTAGTAGTAGTAGTAGTAGTAGTAGTAAATCAATCAAAATCATGCCTCTTTTTTTGTCCAATCAGCACAAAACATATTTGTTTGGTTTGCTGCAGAATTTTAGTGATTAGTTTCTGTGTGCCATGAGATGAAAAAGATTGAAAATCTCTGACTTGGAATAATGTTCTCAAAGTTTATTCATGTTGTACATTGTATTACTACAGCCATATGCCTCATAACAATATTTTAGTCAATGTTGGACCAAAAAAATGACAGTGGTCTCATAAGATCATCATGGAGCTGAATTTCCGTTAAAAATTGGAAAGACAGCGGTTCAGAATTTTTCCCCCTCTGGTGGGAGCAGTATCTGTGAAGTTGGCAATAGATTCCCTCTCACGCACAGTACCTTAATTTTGAGTGCACAGATTACGTCCCAGTCAGTTAGCCACTGACCTGCTCTAGCCCAAAGGAGTCTGTCCCCCAGCCCTGCATATTCAGAGGGTGCTTTCAGCCATCCCGGATCAAGCTTGATCGTCTTCAGAGTAATTTGCTGTAAATTCTTCGATGAGGAACTAAAATCCTGTACAAGGGCACAGGTCCATGAGAGCGGCCTTAATAAGTATTAAGTGCTACTGCCACTCAAATAAAAGCTTCCTGTGGTCATATGGAGCCATCGTGTCCCTGTACTTTGGAAATATTTTCACGTTGAAATGATACAGAGCATAGATAAGTTTTATTTTTTCCATCATTCCATTGCTAGAGAGAGCCCTTCATGCCAGAGAGGACCAGTGGAACCAAAAACAGATTTTGAAAGTCAGAAATAATTGAGTCCTAAGTTTTGAGCCCTCTCAGTGTTAAACAACCTCTATTTTAATGAATACCATAAAGTTCCTTAATCTGACCACTGCTTCAGCATGCAATAGCCAAAACCACATTGCCATAACAATCCTCTATGTTTCTTTATCTCCCCATCTTGATTTGTTATTCCTATTGATCTTCAAGAAGGATCACTTCCATTTCCTCCCTAATGGTAATCTGTGCCTTACCCAGTCAGTTTCTCCTTGGTATTTCCAATCAGTTTCACCCACATTTCTGTATATTGAGTGACATTGACAGCTTTGGTGTTTTATATTTGGCCCTATCAGAAGAAAGCAAGGAGAGGACTTGTGGGAAAGTGTTTATAAGGTCTATAGCAGTGTACAGTGATACCCTAGGCTTTTACACTCACCACTCAACTCTCTGACTCACTCAGAGCAACTCCCAGTCCTGCAAGCGCCATTCATGGTAAATGCCTTGTACAGGTGTACCATTTTTTAATCTTTTATACTGTATTTTTACTGTACCTTTTTTATGCTTAGATACACAAATACTTTTGATTGTGTTACAATTGCCTGCATCATTCAGTATAGTAACATGCTGTATAGCCTTGTAGTCTAGGAACACTAGGCTATATACAGCAGTGGGCTGTACTACCTAGGTTTGTGTACGTGCTCTCTGTGAGGTTGGCAGGATGAAATCGCCTAATGATGCATTTCTCAGAATGGACCCCATCTTTAAGTGACACATGACTGTACCTCATTCCTTTTTATGACTGAAATTTTGTTTACTCATTTGTTAGTTGATGAGCATTTGCATGTTTTTACTTTTTGGCTATTATGAATGTTGTTGCTATATACTTTTGTGTACAAGTTTTGTACGGACATATGTGTTCAGCTCTCTTGAATGCATACCTAGGAGTGGAATTGCTGGGTCATATGGTAACTCTGTGTTTAACTTTTGGGAGAACTGCCTGTTTCTTTTTATTTCACCCCAGTTTGCATTCATACCTACAGCGCATGAGAGTTCCAGTTTCTCTACATCTTTGCCAATACTTGTTATTGTGTGTCTTTTTTATTATAGCCTTATAGATATAAAATGGTATCACATTTTAGTTTTGATTTAAACTTCCTAATGATGTTGACCATCTTTTCATGTGTGTATTGGCCATTTGCATATCTTCTTTGGAGAAATGTATATTCATATCCTTTGTCTATTTTCTTGAGTGGGTTACTTGTGTTTTAGTTGTTGAACTGTAAGAGTTCTTTGTGTATTCTGGATTCTGGATACCAGGTTTGTATTAAATGTGGTATTTGCAAGTATTTTCTCCCATTCTATGGGTTGTCTTTTCACTTTCTTAATAGTGTCCTTTGAAGCACAAAACTCTTTAAATTTGATGAAGTTCAGTTCACCTGTTTTTTCTTTGGTTACTTATGCTTTAGAGATTGTAGATGAGAAACCATTGTTTAACCCAAGGTCATGAAAATTTACACATGTTTTCTTCTAAGAGTTTTGTAGTTTTAGCCTTACATTTAAGTCCTTGATTCATTTTGAGTTAATTTTTGTAATATATGGTGTGAGATGAGGTCCAAAGTCATACTTCTGCATGTGGGTATCCAGTTGTCCCAGCACCATTTGTTAAGATTATTTTTATGGAATTTTCTTGGCTCTCTTGTTGAAAATTAATTGATCATAAAATGTATTTGTGTTCTCTCAATTCTATTCTGTTCTATTTTTCTGTTCTTGTCTCAGTACCACCCTGTATTTGCTTACTTTTACTTAATTACTCTAGGTGGCGATTTTCAACTTTTTTCATCTCATGGCACATATAAGCTAATTACTAAAATTCAGTGGCACACCAAGAGATATATTTTTTGCCTTTCTAACAAAAAAGATAGGTATAATTTTGATTTATTCATACTGGATAGCTATTGTGTTGGCTGTTGTCATTTTTTATTTTGACAATCTAAGGGAAAAGAAGAGGTCAGTGTCCCTCACTAAGTAGTCAAGTATTTCCCGTTTTGAAAATTCTTATGGCACACCAGTTGAAAATTGCTGTCCTAGACTATTGTAATTTTGTGGTAAGTTTTGAAATTGAGTATTCAAGTTTTGCAATTCTTTTGTTAAGTTTATGTCTAAATATTTTATTTTTGCGGCTATTATAAACTTTTTAAATTTCATTTTGGATGATTCATTGCCAGTACATAGAATTACAAATGATTTTCCTATATTGATCTTGCATTCTCCTACCTTGCTAATTAAACTCATTGAATTCTAATAGCTTTTTAAGGATTCCTTCGGGTTTTCTATGCAGAACTTCATGTAAATAGAGGTAGTTTTACTTCTTCCTTTCCAATCTGGATGCCTTTTTTAAAAAATTGCCCTGGCTAGAAACTTCAGTACAATGTTGAATAATAGAAGTGGTAAGAGCAGACACTCTTCTTTTTGTTCCTGATCTTAGAGGGAAAACTTTCAGTCTTCCACCATTAAGTGTGATGTGGTTTGGTGGATGTCCTTTACCAGGTTGTGGAAGTCCCTTTCTCTTCCAATATCCTTGAGTATTTTTATCATGAAAGGCTGTTAAATTTTGT